GTCACGGACTGCACGGCCCTGGCACACTCGGATGCTGCAGGCACTGCCTGGGGACAGCGGGAAGCAGTCACAGCTCGTGGGGACTCGCTGAGGACGTTTTGACTCCTGAAGAAAATCAGCAGGTTGCTCCATCTTTATTTCAAGCAGGGGCTGATTTGTGGCTGACATCCTAAATTGAAGGCACCAAAACCTTCACCGGCTATTTCTCTTTTTCTTTCTGATTCGGCAGATCGCGGACGGCTCCGGGCCGCCGCCTCGAAGACCGTCTCGCTCCGAACGGGCCCCCGCGTTCCTTCCCACCTGCGCCCCTTTCATCTCCCCGCGGCTCTTCCCACGGCATTTGAATCGGTTGAGGTTTTGGGCGGGGACCACCGAGAGCCCAGGCTTCTGGAACCGCCCGTGATGAAGCAGCGGCTGCACGTTTTCCCAGAGATTGCCCTTCGCGTTCGGCCGTCTCGGCCGGGTGGTGGGGTGAGCGGCCGCGTTCCCACCAGGGTCAAGACTGTCCAGGAAAAGTCCCTCCTGACCTTGAAGCCACGTTCCTACCAATCGACGCTGTCTGGTCCCCTCTGGTGCCCCAAACTGGAAAGGTGGGGTCACACCGAGAATACCATCGGCCAGGTCCCCGAAAGTCATGTTGTCCTTGATGGTGATTCCCATTGGATTTCACAGTACGGCCACACAATAATTATTATATTGGCCGATCGGCCCTTGTCTCTTTTACGGAGGAATTAAAATCCCAGCACAGCTGGAATGAAGGCCAGGAGGACGTACGACTGATTTCTGGTGTATTTTTAAGGGCTACAAACATATTCCTGGTTTACTATTTACTTTACTGTAGTAATATTACCAAGTGTTTTTTCCCCTTACATTAAAAGAGTACTACACCAACTATGCTATTATTATTCGAAACACTAAAAAGCATTGCACGCTCAGATCCAAGACCTCTCAGGTTAAAACGAAGGAATTATTTCACGTTCAAGAGCAAGACCGTGAACTTAATAAATAATAGTTAAAAACAAGACCAAACACCCTTCGACATCCTCAGATGGAGGCGCCCGGCCTGTGGTCATGGCCTTGAGCTTGTCAGGTCCCGAGAACTCACCAGAGACGTGCGGACCACGGCTTCGACCACCGCATCGAACACCTTCTGGGGCAGACGCAGCAGCGTTGTGCCACTGTCCACGATGGCCTTGTCCGCATTGTACTAGGAGAGGGGAGGGGAGAAGGCACGTGAGTGACAGGCACGTGACAGGGCACTCCGCGGCAACGCACGGCTCTGTCACGTACCAACTGGGGCAGCCGCGGTACCTGCTTCGTGCCTACAGTTAATTCCGTATTCCCAGAGTTCGGGATCAAAGGTCTCTGAGCCCAAGAGTCTCACTTCACAGGAGAGAAACGGAGGCCAAGAAAGGAAAGTGACGTGACCGAGGTCAGCAGCCCTCCCAGTGCCGGGCTTGTCTGTCCCTCAGTCAGAGAGGCCCCAACTCGCTTGTCAAAGAGCCCCGACGGGCAAGGAGGAAAGACCCGTTTGTCCTCAGAGATGGAAATGACAGGTTAAATGCCATTTACACAAAGCGTACAAAGTCACCTGTTACGCTGCCCATGAAGAGAGAGCTAGAGACATTCAGTAAGACACGCGCACACACGCGCGCACACACACGGGCTTTGTCAGCACTGTCCCCTCCTCCGCCAATCCCCTCGTGGCTGGTACGGAGGATAGAGGACCGTGGGCCCCTCCAGCCACTTGAGACATCGCTGTGTGGACGAGGCTTCCTGGGAACGGGGTGAGTGGCGGGCAATTTACTCTTCCCACTTTCATGAGTCATAGGACCAAATGCCCCGCCAGTGAGTTCAGAAGGAAGGAAGGGTTTGTTCTGGTGGCGGGTGGCAGAAATGAAGAATGATGTGGAGTTGAAAAGTATCAATGTGTTCGTATTCTCTTCAAACGTAAAATTATGCTCAGTTCAGAAACAAATTTAAGCTGAATCTGATCTACTTTGTCCTTAAAATGATTACTTTTTGTGTGTGTAAGAAACGTAAACATATGAAAGGCCTTCAAGAAACGGAACTTTGCGAGATCTGGGTTTTGCTGTTTGTTCTTATCGGGTGAGCAGGAAAGAACCAAAAACCTAAGTCTCAAACCTCCAGATAGATGCTTGTCCTCTAATTCACACACACTCCACACTCACACACACTCACACACACCTCACACACTCACACACACACTCCACACACTCACACACACGCACACACTCCCACACACTCACAGACACACCATACACTCACACACACACACTCTCACACACGCCCCCTCACACACTCAGACACACTCACACACACTCCACACTCACGCACACTCACACACACTCACACACACCCACACACGCCCCCTCACACACTCCACACACTCATACACACTCACACACTCCACACACTCACGCACTCACACTCTACACTCACACACACCCACACACGCCCCCTCACACACTCCACACACTCATACACACTCACACACTCCACACATGCACACTCACACACACTCACACACTCTACACTCACACACACCCACACACACCCCCTCACACACTCACACACATTCACACTCTCACACTCATACACAGTCACACATACACTCACACACACTCCACACACTCACACACGCAGTTTATGTTTCACTTCAGGCCCCTCGATCCTACCACTGGATTCGTTAATGGCCAATAAGCGCCTTTCGACAATGAACAGATCAGCGGGCTCAGCGCTGAAACACTATTACAGTGCAATGGACCATCGTGGGTCTGTGAGCGGCACCCGTGGATGAGCCTGTGGTCTGTGAGCGGCACCCGTGTATGAGCTGTGGCGAACGGCATGGTGGACATGAAAGCGAGTGAGGGACGAGTCGGAGGTACACGGCAGGAATGTGATAAAATGCCGCTGGTTTTCAGAAACCGTTTGGAAGATGCTTCGGCAGACGGAGGCTCCCTCAGGTCCTCGTAACCCTAATGCCGTCGTGTGCCACAAAATAGCCAAAAGGCAGTGGTGGGGGCGGGGCGGGGGTGAGCGAGGTTGGCGAGACCTGGGCTCACGGCCATGCACATTCGCCCGCCGCACACAACCTCGGGGGCCCGCTCGCCTTCCAGGGAGGAGGGGATCTGCTGGGAATGCGGGATACAGCTGATGATCTGTTTTGGGTTTCATTTTGTTCATTGTTTAGTCCCCCTTCCTCCCCTCATGCTGAGAGAAACCTCCGTGTGGCATCTATTCAAGAGTTCAAGGACCACCGATCAAAGGCAAATCGGGGTTCTCCTCGCTCACTATTTTATGCTAATTTCTCCCCGTTAAGGCAAGTGCTGAAAGGGAGCATCATTTTTTTGGGGGGGGGTCATTGATTTAAACTTGTCACACAAAAAGGCCTGTAGCGTCGAATGTCACGAATCTCCGCTTTGTCACGCAGCGGGCCTCCCGGTGTCACGCTCAGGTGCCAGCTGTGAGGGCCGGGTGGCCCGGGCACACGCGGGTGCGAAGGGCTCGTGGCGTGGGTACCTCTCTGCAGTCCAGGTTAAGACTCTGGCCTCCGATCTCCAGCTTGAGGATTTCTATCTGATAATACCACTCCTCCTTAATCGGGGTATACCAGATGTCTCCTCTGTACAAACTTGGTTCAATGCCACCTAGGACCTGGGAAGAAAAACATTCACAGGTATGAGACAGAAAACAAGGCGCAGGAAAACGACGCGTCACACTGAGCGGCGCGCTCACGAGGCGGAACGGCCCCGCAGTCGGTGCTGTCGCTCGGCTGAGACGTGACGACACGAGTATGTGTGCTTGGAAATGACATGGGGACGTTTCGGGGCCACGTATGCAGAGGTGGTCGAACAACGCCCCGGTCTAATCGAGATGCTTTGGCGGCTCCCCTTACGTAAAGGAGGTGCATGCGATTCCAGCATTACAATATTGGGATTTTGCTCTGAAGAAATGCGGTAAAACAGTGAACCGCATCGATTGATAGGCGTTTGGTCCCTCGGAAGTCAGAAGGTGACCTCCCGCCCCACACGCCTGCGTGGAAAGCAGGACAAAACAGGTTCCCTATGCGAAACTTCATTTTGGAAGACTATATAACATCACCCCCCAGACCCTCAGCCTGCCCGGTCCCCAGAGAAGAGGGTAGAGAAAGGTGCCGAGCGCAGGTGCACTGTCAGCAAATGCAAGGAGCTGAGCCTGCTCCTCACCGCTGGCCCATCAGGAGGATGCTCGGGCTACAGCTCATCCACGGCGCGCATGCGCTCGATTCTGTTCCATTAAAAACAGTCGTGCTGTGTGTGTGTGCGTGTGTGTGTGTGTGTGTGTGTGTGTGTGTTGATATAGAGAATGGGGATGTACAGGTGTCCCGTGTCTCCGCATCAAATGTAGGAAACCACAGGCAACCCCCTTGCTTCCCCCTCCCAGAGTAAGGCCCACCTGCTACATACGCCCTCCCCACGGGGGCCTCCCTCGTCTATCAAAAATAGTTCGTTACCTTTCAGAGGAGAATTGTAAGAAGCTTTGATGGAATCTGGGAAGCAATGAGCTTCATCTCTTGGATGGCAGGATGATTAGGAAAGCTGAGAATAACACCTAATTTTATCCATTTCAATAGGTTCTATAATAAGGATGATCAAAACTTTACAGTGCGCCTCCGTGTCTCATATTTGTATGGGGGTCTTAATAAAACAGACTTTTCGCCTCTTTGAGACTAAGGGATACCCACCAGGCTGCCTCCATTGGTGCCAGATCCAGCCACTGGCAAGCCCGCCCCGCACGTCTGCATGGAGGAAGATGTTGGGATTTTCGCTTGTGCCACGAGGGAATCGAAGAACGTCTCCAGAGAACTCGATGGCTGCGGGAGGATGAAAAGGGACAGCTAAGTGAGCAGGCCCCGGTGCAGACACCAGGCACGACAGACAACACTGTTTCTCTTTACATTGAGTCTTTTCATCGCCGAAGAATAAATGAGCTTATGACTACGCACTCGGATCCAGAGACCTCCAACAGGACCCGCTACCCTTGGTACGTTTTCCTTTTGCGACGGCCATGTCGTGAAAATAGGATAGTATTTCGGAAGCTGTGAGGATGCTGTCGCGTTCACCGCCACGGTCGCCTCGTGAGGCGGGCGGCAGACGGGGACGTGGTCAGCGGGACGGCTGGGGCTTCTCATCTTAGACGTTTCGGAGTAAGGAGAGAACAGCGTCTCCAGGAGCTGCAGCCTCAGGAAAAGCACATTCGCCTCCTCCAGCCACGGTGAGCTGTCCATTGCAGAAATGAGAGGTGACCGACCCTTGGGGACAGTCCATCCCAAAGGGGCATGGACGGTCAGCGAATAGCTCTGAGTCGGGGGTGGACCAAAGACTCTGGAGCTCGCCAAGGAAGGCGAGAGACTTGTGTTCAGATTGTGGCTGTGACAACTGGGAGGTATCAGCTCGTCGCCATGGGTCGCACGTTCTGAATGAAAACCTAGCTGCAGTAGCGGAGATGCCGCAGGCACACGCCCGCCCGTGGCCCGCCGAAGGCGCCGACGTCCGTCCCCGTGAGAAGCCAGACCAGAATTGTGGAGGCGGCGAGGGGAGCCCGCTGTCGGCAGATGCGCCTCTTCCCGAGCAGTCCGCCCGCTCCTGCTCCCTTCCCAGCGTCCGTGGCATCCTGAAGTCTCTCCGTGTCGCCTTTGTCAAAGCCCCTGGGGCTCGGGTCAGCGAGACGCGGGCGTCTCTGGAAGCGGCCGGGGCTGGCGGAGACGCGGTCTGCCGTTCTTTCGTCCGTCTTCCTGAGAGGCGGCGCGGGAAGCACTGCCCAGAATCGAAACCCGGCCATGGGACTCGCTCCTTAGTTTCCGTATCTGTAAGCCGGGGATGGTGACAGGCCCCTAGAGCCGGTCTGGGCCTTAAAGGGGTCGGTGTCACGTGAGGGGCTAGGAGCAGTGCCCGGCACACGGTAAGGGGTCTGTCATGACTCTGTCGAGCCGTTCCGCGGTGGGACTGTGCTCCAGGATCCTTCTGGAGCAGTGGTCCCCAGCCTTTGTGGCACCAAGGACCGGCGCTCCTGTGAGAATCTAATGCTTAATGACCTGAGGCGGAGCCGAGGCGGTGATGCCGGCGCTGGGCAGCGGCTGCAGACACAGATGAAGCTTCGTCGCTCGCCTGCCACTCACCTGCTGCTGTGAAGCCCGGCTCCTAACAGGCCGCGGACCAGCACTGGTTCATGGCCCGGGGGATGGGGACCCCTGCTCTAGAGGATTAAAAATGCACAGTTGCCTGGGACCAAGAGCACTCGATTCAGAAGACGTGCAGCTGGACCCAGGCCCCCGCAGTGGGAGACCCCGTAGGTGGTTCTGACACACGTGGCGGGATCTAGGATGGAGCGGGACCGCCACACCCCCTGACCACCCCGAGTGCTCAGTCAGCGGACTTCAGAAACCTGTTTGGGCCAGCGACCCAGGTGGCGCTGGCCTCCTGCTCCCGGCTGTGCTTCCGACGCAGCCTGTTACCGCTTCCTTGTCCCCAGGGACGGGCAGCCGATCTTGGAATTTCACAGATGAAAAGATTAAAGGTTCTATGAGGAGTCGGGCCCCCCAAAGAGGCCCGAAGTAGTTTATTTTCAAAGGAAGTCTTCTATCTTATTAATTCCAGATCATTTCGCTTTCCTCTACCATCTTCCCAATAATCAGCATAAAAACAGTCACACATCTTTCATTTTCAAAGTCACATGAAGATGAAACGTTTTGCCCAAGGTCGCATTGTCAGTATTTAGGGATGTGAATTATTTCCAGTCCGCAGACGGGGTGGGATGTGCACAGGGCCGCCAGGCACGGGGCGAGGGAAAAGCTGCTGGCCCTCATGTCTCTCAAATGAGCACGGCGTGGCCTTACGAAGTCTGCCCGAGAATGGAGAGAACCAACATCTTGTCATGTTCTCAGCCTCGTGTCTCGTGGCCATTCTTTCTCCTGGAGAAGCCACAGGGTTGGGGACCTGCCTGCCCACTGTCCCCCAGCCCCAACCCCTAATCTCATCCCTCCCTCCCCACGCACACACACCGTTCGCTAGTACACCTGAGCTGGAGCAAATGCGTTTAAGGGAAGAGAAAACAGGTGTTCTCTTTGGGATCCTCGAGGACTAAGGGGGGCTCTTGTCACCACGCCGGCCACTCTCGAGACGGGGCTTCCTTGTTGTTTTCCACCAGCTCCGGCTTGAAGCCTGACCCTGACCGAGAGGACAAGGCGTGGTACCTGATTCCAGGCAGGAGAGGTGACTACCTCCTGCTTTGCTCACCTGTGCACAAAACCTGCCTCGGGCACAGCCAGTGTCCAGCCCACCTGCCTCTGGCAGCTTCTCCCGGCGGAAACTCCCCAGGGTTCGGGGAGCCTGCCCCCACTCCTACACACCGGCAGGACTTCCTGTGGGTCGGCCCGAGGACAAATGTTTGGAGAACATTCAGCTCTGTCTTTCCCCATTTTGCGACGGTTCTGATGCTGGTGGGAGCGAGGGAGGTTTCGAACTTTCTCCTTGGCGCGTCTTACTTCCAGTGACCGGCTGTCCCCAGGGCGGGCTTTCAAGTTGCCCATGCTCCGGCTGCAGGAGTCCCCTTAGGGTGACCTGGAGCCATGGTAGGCAGCACAGGGCTGTCTCAGCCCCTGCTGAGGTTCCAGCGTCTCCCGTAGGCTCCATCTTCACACCAACGTAGGGATTTAATAAACATCTTTTCTTTTAACCCTACCCTAATAAGAACTCCTAGACAAACACTGCAATCAAAGTGGTCGGATTCTATTAACATTTTAAGACTACACAAGGAAAATAGATGAAAACAGAAGACGAACAAAAAAGTGATGTTCGCACAAAGGTTTAAAGAATTGTGCCATTTACCTTTAATTTCAAAAATGCTAAGAAATATATTTGTGGCCACTGGTCTGTCCCAACCACGTGATTCTCACTGGCCCCTCTGCACCCACGCACTGGACTGTCTGGTGACAGGTCTTCAGAACCCCCTCCCATCTCTTGGTATATTCACATTCTGGATTATTCCTACCTTAGCCAGGGCAGCATAAGCAAGTCCTAGAATCCCGTTCCATTTAATCCCAGGCAGGAAGAAATTCTCCGACTCGAAGATCGTGGCGACGTTGACCACGAAAGAACCATTGAAGCCTTTTGGGATGGTGACGACGTCCTCCCCCACCAGGCCGGCCCAGCTCCCCTGCGTGTACTTGACGGTGACGTCGAAGCCCTTCGGCCGGTATGTGCTGGACCTGGAGGAGACAGAGGACAGGGAGTGACATGCTCTGCCCGTGGTCCGTGTCTCACAGGGCGGCCCTCACGGCGGCAAAGGCAGCTGTCCTGCTCACGGAGGGGACCGTAAGCAGCTCTTGACAATGACCAGAGTTCATGTCGACAAAGCAACATTGCCACAAATCGTAATTGCTAACCACCTGGGTGACGGTAGTGTTTTCCAAGCCATGTGTAAGAAGTCCTGGGCTTACCGTGAGGTCCCTGAGTTTAACATCTGTGCGCCCCAATAAAACCCCAGAATTCAGGTGTTTAACTGAACTGTGTGAGCCGTTAGGGCACAAGCTTTGCGGGGACCCTGCACTGCTGATTTGTGACACAGAGAGGGGCTGGCAGCCTAGAAGGAGGTGCCATCAGCTTGTGCCAGTTGCAGCCTGAGTCACACTATCAATGTGACTAATAAAGACCAAGCCACACTCACCATTGTGACGAGCTTCCTCCTCAGGGCCCGCACTGGCCCAACGTCACTCGAGGCTCCCCACCCCTGCCCCAAAGCTGGTGATGCTCAGAGCAAAACGTGGGGGATGAAGCCTCAGACATGCTGTGACACAGATCACTGTGACACCACCTACAACCCCACATGCATCGAGAGCTCGGGGTAGGAGTTACACAAACACCATAACATGAACAAAATAAGACCGTGAGCGAGACTGATGAAACGAGGCAGACAGCAGACAAGTGAACGCACAAAATCCCAGACAGCGGTCAGAACTCTCGGGGAATAAGGCAAGGGGAGGGGAGGAGAGTCAGCCAGGCCTCTCCGATAGGTCTGCATGTGTGACGCCTGCATGAAGACCACGAGCCACGGGGAAGGACATCCTGGGGAGAGGCAGCAGGCGTCAAGGCCCTGGGCTGTCCAATCCTGTCAGGGAATTCTCACGCCCATTCGAGTTTGCAGACTCTGCTGGGCCATATATAGAAAGAAGCCCAAGGGACATCTTTTGGCAAATATCTGGGCATTTAAACCATGTCCCCATGAGGAAAACGATCGAATTCCTAGAAGTGTCAAATCACCAGATAATTCTAGAGAGTTCCCGTTTGCCTGCATTTTCCATTTCACTCGGTTTTAATATTAAGCCTCTGAACAACACTCTTGTTAAGTCCTTATTTTAGAATTACAGCAACTAGCGCAGTCTTCTTTGGGGTCAGGGAAGAAGTCAGGTCAGAGACGACGTGACTTTTCTTGTTTCTGTACATCGAGGAGCTTTTCAGATGTTGACGGTCCTGAATTTAGTAAATTGTACTTCCGAGACTCTGACCCTAAGGGGACACCCCTGAAGCAGACAGAGGTTCATGTTCAAAGACAGACCGATAATAGAAAACGCTGGAAACCACCTAAACGCCCAGTAAAAAGGAAATTGGTAAATTATGGTGTAACGATACGGTGGACTATTTATTACACCGCACTGAAAAACAGTATTTCCTGAGACATTTTCGATGACATAAAAAAAAAATTAAGGTAAAAGAAAAATTTATGCACGTGCCAGAATCATCTTCGAGGTAGTTTATTACCCCCCGATAATAACAGCTGCTACCTCCACGTAGGGGGGTTTTGTGGGGGACACTCAGTTTGCAGTTAGGCCCGTCCATATTTTTTGCATATGTAACTTTTATAATCAGGGAAAAAATCATTTAAAAAAATGTCTGGCGGATATATTTTAGAGAAACTTAGTTGATTCTAACTTCATAATGGAATGTAAAATGTAAAGAATGTTCAATTTTCATGTTTGCTTGCTGCTTTAGCTCGCCCACCACGATCTCCAAGGGAGAGCAGTGTAATGAGAATGCGTGCTCATCACCTGACACGGGCAGGGACAGGCGGACGTGAGAGTGGGTGGGCCCCGGGACCCACTGGAAATCACACCCATCAAGTGCAGAGCCTGCTCACGGAATCGTGGGCCCCTGAGGGCTGGTGACACGCAAGCTTTAGCGTCAGCGGAAGTCCAGGTGTGCTTGGCACACGGCAGGGGCCGTGCAGGGGCCGAACAGCAATGAAAATGCTGAGTTATTCAGTCCCTTTGGACAATGCGGGTCTTTCAACAAGTTCAGAAATTTGATTGGTCACGGAAGACGCTAATAAATTATTCTGAAATGCTTGCAGAATAGGACCGAGCACAGGGTTGGCATACTTTTTCTGTAAAGGGCCTGGAAAAAAACTGTTTAAGCTTTTGTTGGTCACATGACTTCCATTACAAGGACTCAGCTCCGCCAGCATAATGGAGAGGCGGTCACAGACGCCAGCCACGCAGCCATCGTTGGCTGTGTGCCCAGAAACTTTACTCACGAAACAGACGGCAGCTCTGATGGAACTTGTGGGCCCTGGTTTGCTAACTCCTGATCTAGAAGATTAGTTATTTTCCCCCAAAACGGTCTAAAGTGCCATGACTTTCTTTTGAGAAGTTGTTTTAACTTGGGCCAGGCTACCGAAAATATTAGCATCTGCCCACGCTAACGAGAAGAGCCTGAATCTCTATGTCGTGTGTCTTCTACAGTCGCCCGACTAGGTTGCTGGCCCCTCATAGGAGGGAACGTTCTGGATATTTTGGTGCTATCTGCAGAGAGATGAAATGTAGCTGGAGTTATACTGCCCAGGTTCCAATGCTAGTTCACCTGCTTATTAGCTGTGTGTGACTCTGGGCCAACTTAATGAACCTCTCTGTGCCTCGGTGTCTTCAACTAGAAAAATGGAGATGATATAGTACCATATCTCATTAGGTTAATTTTGAGGATTAGGAATTAATATCGTAAAGCATTTAGAACAAAACTCTGGAACATAGCAGGTACGCAGCACCAATAGCTACTGTTATTATAAAGCTCTAGTCATTTGCTGCCTGAATTCAATGTATGAACTACAATTAGAAAATGTAGGATTCATATTCGAAAAGATATTGGCACACCGATGTTCATAGCAGCATTACTCACAGTGGCCAGGATATGGAAGCAACCGAAGTGTCCTACGATAGATGATTGGCTAAAGAAGCTGTGGTACATATATATACAGTGGAATATTACTCAGCCATAAGAAGAGATGAAATATTGCCATTTGCAACAACATGGATGGACCGTGAACTAATCATACTAAGCGAAATAAACCAGACAGAAAAGGTTGAAAACCACGGTATCACTTACGTGGGATATAAACCTAAAAGCAACAAATGAGCAGGACAAACAGACAGAGACACATGGACAATGGACGAGTGGTTACCAGAAGGGAGGGAGGAAGGAGGAGGGAGAAAATAAAAAAATAAAATGTTAAAAAAAATTATGTATACATAGTATGAAAAAAAATAAACGGGCATTAAAAAAAATAATTAAAAAATAGAGAAAAAAAAGTGCAGCTCGCTGCCGGTGTTCATTTTACATAAACTCCCTTTGAGGCTGAAGCAAATCTAACTGGTTTGCAATGTGAAAACAAAATATAAAAACTGAAAAAAACCCAAAAACGTAGGATTGTTTTTTCCTAGAAAACGCTCCGAGAGTTGCTACTCTTCCTGACTATCCGGAACCGTGTCACTCTGAAGTCTAACCACCCCATGAAAAGGGGCCGATGTGTGGGAGGTGACTTGGTTACGGGGGCCGGGGAGGGGGAGAGGCCTTGCCTGATTCAGAGAGGCAGAGCTGTCATGTGTCCCAGGCCAGCAGCCCAGTAGACCCGCTGTGAGACAGGAAGGGCCTGCAGCGACATTGTCCCACACGGCAGCCACAGGCGGCTACTCGGCCCTTAAAACGGGACTATAGGTCCATCCATGTCGTTGCAAATGGCCGGATTTCATTTTTTTGTAACGGTTGAGTAATATTCCATTGTACATATGAACCATAACCCCTACGCTGAGTGAAATAAGTCAGACAGAGAAAGGTAAATACCGTGTGATTTCGCTTATATACGGAATCTAAGGAACAAAAAGAACAAACTAATCAAAAACAGACTCAGGAATATAGTGGACAATTTGGTGACAGAGGGGAGGGGGGTCGGGGGGCTGGGAGAATGGGGTGAAGGGCTGAAGAAGTACAGATTAGTAGTCGATAGATGGTCACGGGGATGGGGAGCACGGCATGGGGAATGCAGTCGGCAGTAATATATCGGTTAGGTGGGAAGCCTGAGGAGAAAAGCAGCAATTTTATAAACTATATACACTATGAATGTCTTATAAACTATATAAATGTCTGACCAATGTACTGTATACTTGAAACGAATAAAAAATTTAAAAAGTGGTAAAAAAAAAATGTGACTATAGTGTGACTAAAAAACTGAACTACTAGTTGACATCAGTTTAAATAGCCACACGTCCTAGACGACGTGAGGACAAGGAATCCTGAACTCATCCTCGTGGGGACCCTTGAGCCCAACCTCACCGCAAGGGCCCGGGAGATGAGCTGTGAGCAGCCTGCAGCGTGGCTGATGTACAGTTTCCGGCACTCAGTTAAAACCAAACGCGTCCGTCCGTCCGTCCATCCTCACGGTCCAGCGTCCTACCTCGTGGCACTGAGTGGCCTCGGCTCTCAATCGCTCTGCGCATTCATCGACCAGGTCGAGAGGGGACCCAGGTGGCTTTTCCGCGTGCTCGGAAACAGCCATCCATCAGGGGTGCGGGGAGCAGGCAAAAGTCCACCCACAGCAGCAGAATCTCTTAGAACCGAATCCGGGAGACGGTCCACCTCTCGTCAGAGGGCCCGGGGAGCATGGGAATGAGAAGCGGAATCCACAGAACCGAGGAGGAAGCCGCAGAGCACTCGATGGCTGCAGAGAAACCCGCCCTTGTGTGGGGAGAACAGGAAAGGGAAGGTGGGGGTGCAGAGCTGAGTCCATGGGCCGCCCGCTGCTCTGCGGTCGCCCCACCCGGGTGAGGTCTAAAGAACGGGGGGCCAAGCCTTCCGGGGGCGCTGCAGCACGTGTCGGTTTCGGAGTCTGCCTTCGGGGTTGCTGGCCTGGCGCAGGTGACCAGATCCCCCTCCTAGACCCTTTCACGGTTCTGGAAGTGACCAGACCACGGGTCCAGAGCGGGTGGGGCCGCTGACGGCCCAGGCGCTGCTCAGCTGGTGCCTAACCCGGCAGCTCACCAACCTCAACAACGGCCGGTGCTGGCAGGTGCCAACGGCACGTCCCCTCCTGGACACGCTCCAGAAATCACCTAAACGATCTGTCACTGTCACACGGAGAGATGAAGCATTTGGCTTCGGGGGTCCAGTTCGGCCTCCTTAGGGAGGCCCCCAGGTCATTCTCGCACACCCTAATTCCGCTTACCAGCCTCGGCCGAGGAGGAGAAACTGTCCCTTGCCACGCCCACTCCGTGGGGCTCAGCCCAGACGGAGCGCGGGGGGAGGGGGCACCTCAATGGAAATATACTGAATTTCCTGAATACATCAGCAGGTCAGAGGGATGAGTACATTGGATCTGTCGTCAAGCCAACTGGCCAGAGGCCATTTTATTGGCTCAAAAAGAAGCACATCTTAAAAACACACCACCTTCTTTTTGCTGTAGCGTAATTCATTGGAACTCTCACAGCCGTGAAAAGCAGGCTTCTGATGGGAACAAGCTATACACAAATGACTAATGGTCGCCCGACGACTCATTCTGCAAATCAAAGAGATTTTTGTCAAAGAACCCCAAGCCAAATCTCCAATTACTGCAAAATGTTTCAGGGAGCATTAAACCTGAATACCCAAAGTCTGGGGGACTTGAAATCAGAGGCTCACGAACCCAAGCGGAAACCTTATTATAACTAAGGGAGATCAGAGGGGTAAGCAAACGCAGACACATCACAGGGCGGGGAGCTGCGTCTCAGAAAAGAAACCTTTGTGAAAAGCCGAGAAGAAAAGCGAGAACATTCTCCTGGCTTCCATCAAATGCAGCGGTGGAGAGTGTATCTCGGATAACCCAAGTTAGGTGAGAGCGTTAGAGAAACGAACCACACGTAATTGACACAGAGAGTAAATTATGTGCGAAGTTCCTAACTTTACAATAACAAATCTGTGTTCACGTAAAAGAAAACAGGAGGAAAGAGAAAGTTATCATGGTTCGGGGTTGCAGCTGACGCGCCCGACACTCAGAGATGCGATGCTTCGATCCGGTTCGGCTAAGGAGAAACCTGACCGCCCTGTCGAAGAACAGTTAGTTCTCTTTGAAAAAAGGTGGCATCAGAGCTGGAGGCCAAAATGTGAGTGACGTTTCTCGGGTGCTGAGAAGCTTCCAGCAATACCTGCCAATGAGGAGGCCCAGCTGAGGATGGAATGCATAAGTGCCACTCAGTGAGGTGAAGCCGGCCAGTGGGAGAAAGGAGCCCAGGCCGTCCCCTGCACTGTCCCTTATTCCTCTTCCTTTGCCCACGGAAGGGGAAATCCATGGGAACCGGGAGAGCTCAGAGAGCCGGGAGGGAGCCCGAAGCTGGGGGTCAGCCGTCATGGGTGCTCGCTCTGTTCCCAGGAGTTCCCACGTTAAATTGGGTGCAAAGGAGCCAAGAACAGCTTATTCTCTGAGTACGAAAAACAGGACCATCGGCCACCTGGACACAAACCGGGCTAGCAAGGTGGACAGGTAAGTTAAAACCTGTGTCCTGCTAAAACCTGACAGGGGAGCATGGCGCAGCCAAACGATGAACAAAGCCGAGGTTGGGCAGGTTGGCTGCAGTCAGTTCAATGTTGTCACATGTTAAGTGGCACTGTACCCAGTGTTCGTAATGCTGACTGTTACTTACCCTGGAATGTGAGCGTGGTTGTGTCCGCATGGACAAACGGTGACTGGGTTGGAGACTGGGCCATGACCCCTGTCAAACCCTGGCTATGCCAAAGAACCGCCACGAGCTACCGGGGAGGAAGTGACCGTCCTGGTGTCGGATATGCACATGGAAACCCGGACAGCAGTCGCACGCACCACCCCGCCTTCCGCTGCACTGCGATGGACTGCTGTTTTCTGTGTCACGTGTCTGCAGGTGTGTGACGGGACACAAGCTTCCCGTGGGGAGGAAGCCTGCCGACCTGTGACAAAGCTCGAGATCTGCCCGCTCTGCCCGTGGCAGGCAGAGCCCGCGGTGGGCGCGGGGAGCTGGCTAAGTGTACAGACGAGAGCCTCGCAGCAGGAAGGACGCAGGGCTGGGATTGTTTTGCCGCCAAGATAAACACCCTTTACATAGCTTCATAATCACACTGGACTCGCCAGGAGTGCGTCTACAGTGTGAGCCGAGGGAAGGCCATACTTCTGGGGGGACTTTACCAAGATTCTTCACCGATTTGGAAAACCATGTCATTGACCCAAGCGGCTCTGGGCATCCCGGTCTACTCCAACCCGCTTTTATCGGTCTACACTGGGCTGCGTGCCCTCACGCACGCCCTGCTTCACACACCTCCCACCGCAGTCCAGCCAGCGTCCGCACCTCGAGGCACTGACCACCTCTCTATAAATTACCCCCTTTTCATCTCCCCGTCCTACATCCGGGCCATCGGAATCACGTCTAGAGGTAAGTTACATCACCGCTTTGCTCCACTTCAGAGCCTCGCGGAGCACTTGGCGTAAAAAGGGGGTGCTGGGCTGGAGACTGGGGAGCTGCCAGGCTAGAACTTGACCGTGGGCAGGTCCTGGCTTCTGGGCCTCCTGTGCCACACGAGTAAGAAGGAGAGGTTTGGGCTAATGCGAAGTTCTGTTTCATGACGAAGCAGCTGAGAGTGAGCAGTCGGGGTGGGGGGCAGTTTGGGGCAGAGGGTTTGGACAAACCACCTTTGGGCAAAGTCAAAGGGTAGCCGAGGTACCCTTAGCCGCCTCACCAGACACACACACACACACACACACACAGAAATACCTCCCCTCCCCCACTTCACGCCTATTGTGGTTGCAGACGCAACTTTGGGGGCACATATTAGTCTCCATCACAAAGCAATCACTGGCTAGGAGTTTCATCCTGGATAAAAGATGACAGGTTATCAATCCCCTGACTCATAACCTACGCTATAGGTTCCTTGAGGGAGGGGCCAAGCGGATCTCTCTGAAGTCCCCGAGGGCCCGCCAAGCGCTAGCCAGCCCTGCCTCGCACCTCACACAACGGAGACCGTGGCTCTACGTGCCACCAAACTGGAGACCAAGACGTGGCGTGGCTCCACAACAGAGGGACCCGGCTCTCACGCGTGGCGAGGCGTCGCTGCACCAAAGTCGCCCGGGATTTGCAGAAGCTTCCCGTTGTTATTTTCGCCCACTTTCCCCCCAGGTAAGTTGGGGCTACTCTCTGGAACAGGAGACTGTGGACGAAGCAAGTGAGACGGGGAGACAGTGACCAGGTTCACAGCAGGGAAATCCGACGTGGCGGTTTCGAGTCTGCGGGCGGTTGATGGCGCTATTCTACAAACCACACGTCAGCGCACTGGCTTCATCTGCTGAGTTCAAATTTCAGGCCACAAAAATCGATGTGAAGTCAAGGTGGGCACAGCACTCGAGCAGCTGCAGGACCCCGTGGACTCCCCCGGAGCTGAGTGCTGACGTGAGGCCCTGGGGGCTGTCCCCAGGCCCGGACCACACAGAGACCTCCGTCCTGGCTCCACGCCCTCCTCGTGACCCCACCCCCGACGGCTGGACGCTCTGTGCTCGCACCCTCACCCTTCCTACAGGAGCCACGGAACGCTCTCGCCCAGAAACGGTCTCCACGCGCCACACCTCGGCCCCTGTGGCACTGCGGGACACGGCCAAGGTGGCTGTCCAAGCAGCTCAAGCCCTCCCTGCCCGGACGGTCACATGCTCGTGTCCGAAGTGCCCCCCACCCCGCTCAAGCCCACTTCCACTTTAGAACTCGAGGGACCACGGAAACACCCAAGCATCACCTGCTCCCTGCAGCTCAGGTGTAACAACCCCGCTGTCTGACTCGCACGTCTGGGAAGCGAACCCCACGAGAACGCAGGAGACTGTCAGAAGAATGGCCGTGGAACGAACACACTCACGGACACACGCGCGCCCACGTACGACACACACGTATGCGCTCACAAACGCGTGCACGCACACACACGCACACATACATACACGCGCACACTTCCCCCTGAGAACGAAACGGGCTTTTGGCTGCTTGGCTCCAGGGTACTGTGAAGGATTCACGGGGCGCCCCCGAACCTAGGCACGCCCAGCCCCGGGCCCATGGCTCACCTCTTTGTGTCGAAGTACGAGTCTGTGTAAGAATGCGGGGCTCCGGCCACGGCGAAGTTGCTGCTGCCAGTGTCGACGAGAATCTGCAGCTTTTATTTTTAAGGGGGAGGGGGGAAGAAACCGTGAGATCACTTGCATAAAGCGAGGTGCTCGAACCATTCTAAACACAAAATACTAAGAACAATTTATGACTTGGGGGAAAAAACTTACAGCGATCAGAAATTTTTAAAACGCTGTTACAAAACTGATACCTGAACACAGTCCAGTGAGAAGCTCGGGGACCTGGGGCGGCAGGTGGGGGGACTACGTTGCCTCCCATATGTACCGAGCCCTGAAGAAAATAAACGCATCTAACTGGTCTTCCCTTTTTAAGCCATCGGGACTAGCAAGACAGAGCCCTCTCACCCAGGGCTGTCGTCAGGGTGTGTCACCTGGCCGGGGTCACCTCTTCCTGCCTTTCCAATCTCACCCGGAAGCCCTGATCCGCTGGGGCCTCCCCTCCTAGTCTCCTCCTGGAGGTGGGTTTTCTCTCATCTTCAATGCACAGCACCTGGGCACACCTGTCACAGGTGTCATTTTTTAGTTTCAATGAGGTATAATTTACATAGAACAGAAACGCGAGACCTTAGATTTTCCACCGGTGTGTTAGGACACGGTGTGGCACCCAAACCAAGATGCGGAAATTGCTATTATTCCCTAAAGGTCCTTCTATCCCCCTTGCCAGTCAAGGCAACCACTTCGTGATGACTGTCACCATGGGATGGTCCCTGGATGTCCCATAAATGTAATCGTGTGGATGTTTTTTGAGTCCGGCTTCTTCTGCTCAACATGATTTTTTCCGATTCTCATCACGTGGCTGTGCGTGTCTCTACTTTTCTTCTCCTGGGTAAGCAGTGTTCCTTTGCCTGGATGCGTCGCCAGCTGTCTGTCTGTCTCCCTCTCGACGGGCATTTTGGTTGTTTCCCGTTTTAGGCTATTCTGAATGAAGCTACCAGGGACACCCCTGCTAAGTCATTTTCTGAACAGAGGTTTCCATTTCTCTTGGGTGAAGACCTGGGAGGGAAGCTTGTGTGGTCATAGAGTAGGTGCGTCTGGAATGTTTTTAAAAAATGCTGAACTGTTCTCCAGGTAGATACAGCAGGTTACAGCCCCTCACGCGACGTGTCAATGGATGGTCCACATGCTTCGTTTGCTGCGTGTCCCCCAAATTTGGTGGTGTTGGTCTTTCTCATGAGGGCTGTTCTACTGTGTGTGGGATGCTCTCTCGCTGTGGGTGGAACTTGCAGTTAGGTCCCCCGTGACCAGTGATACTGAGTGGCTGCCCTGGATTTCAAGGGTTTCATCCGTCTTTCCCCAGAGGACAATGGTGTCTAAGGGTAGGAAGAGTGTATTATCCATCTTTTTACCCGCAGCCTCTACCCCAAGGCCAGATGCACAGCCAAATGTTTACAGAATAAAGAAATACCTTTTAAAAATAAACACAGACTATGCAACTATAACCCCAAAGGCTGAAAATCAAGTTTAAAAAAACTAGACAAAAATTAGAGACGTTTTTACCTAGAGGTATCATCACTTTGGGTTCCTACCTGTCCTAGTTTTGCGACCGCCCACCTCAGCCACCTTGCTGGGCGCTGCCCATCGCCCCACGGTGCTGGAGCTTCCTGGGGTTCAGCTCTGGAACCACTTCCGGGTCCCCGACACTCTCCCCTGCCGTGACCTCATTGAGCCTTAGGGCTTTAAATGCCTTCCGAGTGCTGAACCCCAATCTATCTCCACATGGCCTCCCCTCGGAGCCGCAGTCTGTCCCCACTCAATGCCTCTACCTGAAGGTCTAGCGGCCATCTGTGGGGGTCAAACCGTGTCCCCCAAGTGGACGCATCGAACTCCTAACACCCAGTACCTGCGAATGTGAATTTATGTGCACATTTTCTCTCCCTTGTGATTTTCTGAGAGACGTTTTCTTTTCTCTGGCTTACTTTGTTGTAAGAATGCACCGTGTAACACATATAACATGCAAAGTGTTGGTCGACTGTTTCGTGACAGGCGACCAGCAGTCAGGTGTTTGGGGAATCGGGTTACCTGTGGGTTTTCCGCTGAGCAGGGAGTGGGGGCCCCAAGCCCCAAGTCGTTCAGGGGTCAACGGTGTTAACTTGCTGAAACCTCACAACAGCCTTTGAGGGCAGCTTTACCATCGCCCGGGGAGCTGAGGGACAGCGAGGCTGACCTGCCGGGTCACGCGGGGGCGAGGCACAGCGGGGGCTGCAGCCCATGCTGTGCCACCCCACACGCATGCCCCCTCCGCCACTGGCATGTCACCTCCCTGGGACAGGGGTTTTCGCTGCTTGTTCACTGCTCTGTCCCCAGTGCTCAGAGTGGGGCCGAGCACATGGTAGGTACTCAGCTATTTGTTAAATGAACAACTAAATTATTTTCGGAGGTAAAATCCAGATACTAACTTGGTGCAAAGCGAATCCAGAGGCAGAGGGGAAAGAAACACACACAGTGTGGCGAGCGCCCGTGTGCGCCGTGTGCAGGTCCGCAGAGGCCCCGTGAGGCGCGCCTGGCAAACAGCACGGCCGGCCCCGGCCTCGTCGGGCAGTGCGCCCCTAACCTGGTGGGTGTGCTGGACTTTGCGCCACAGGACGCTGCAGGAATTAGAGAAGGACCACAAACCATCCGGGGAGTGGCTACCGGGGCCGTGGCCACAACAGAGACGATGGTGCCCATGTTTTCACAAACCAGAATCTCCTTTGTGACATCAGAGACGAGCCCCCTCTGCTGAAGATCACGTCCGTGACAACTCTGCAGGAATGGCTGAGCGACAGGTCTGCGGACTAAGGCCCGAAGTAAATCCAAAAGAACGGTGACGATGCACGAAATGAAGAGATGACACACGGCCACCGGGAGCCTTGCAGAGATGCTAGATGGAGTCCGCACGGAACGTAGCTTTCAAAACCGTGTTATGGGTTCTGCTTGGTAACGGTTGATGTTCAACAGCCCGACTCTGCGAACCACAGCTGGGACTGGATTTCGTCTGCATGTCTCATAAACGTGAGAAAGGCGCCAAGTAAATCTGCAGGTACTTAGGACGCAGGACAGGACACACTCCCCGGAGTGGGGGGGACCAAGCCCCACTCTGAGAGGAGAAGGGGGGCCTTTGGCACAGAGTGAAGAAAGAATTCAACACACGCGCTAAAGTCAGAGTCGAAAGGAAAGTTTATCAGAACAGGGGTGACACTCCACAGACAGAGCGAGGTCCCCTCCCAGCGGCAGGGAGAGGGACCAAGAGGCTTGGGAAGATGGTGAGAGGGGGTGGGGGCGGCAAGTGTCCCGGGAATGCAGCTTATGCATCATTCTTTAGTTCCTGCGAGTTATGGTTCAAAGACTTTGCTCACCCCTCTCCTTTGACATGGACACACAGTGAGGAAGGGGAGAGTGGAGTGGGCAGAGGTAAGAACACGCAGAGTGAAAGGCCCGCGGGCAGCTCCCGGCCTTTCGTCCTTAGGTTCCCCACGGTTTTAGCCACCGGGAATGACTCTTGGTTCCCGTTCCCCCTTCGCAGGTGTGGGGCGTGGCTGTCAGCATCCCAGCGGACACCTCCCTTTGTTCTGCAGGTGTCCTGGCCTGGCCGCAGGCTGATGAGTGCATTGCCGGCTCTGATCGTGGCTTGATTCACATGTTAATTCTCTTGCCTCCTCTCTACATGACTGGGGCTTTGCTGGAGAGGAAGTGGCGATGCTGTGGGATTTTCCTATGTACCCACGGTCGGCACAGGTGAAAACAGGTGGCGATCCGCCCGCTGATGAGTCCATCGGCGGCAGGGTGACACACTCCCCGTGTTGCGGGCAGAGTTCTCATGCTCTCTCTCTGTCTCTGTCTCTGTCTCTGTCTCTGTCTCTGTCTCTGTCTCTGTCTCTCTCTCTCTCTCCTCTCTCTCCAATCTCTCTCTCTCTCTCTCCCTCTCTCTCTCTCACTCCCATTTTCAGTGTCTCTCCACCATATGATTATGCTTGTTTTTTAAAACTCTCTTCCACTTCAATTCTTTTAAGAGTCGATCCCATTTACATCCAATTCTATACATTTTTCTTAATCCGATCGCGTCCTATGTCACATCTTCTGTTTTAACGCTGTAGTTCGGGGTTTTCATGGCGGCCTCGTCACGTAGCCATGACCGATTACCTCTTTGGCCATTTGCCAATTCCAGCTCCACACCTTCCCCCGCCACCCAAGGTGAGGCCGAAAGTCCCAACCCCTTCATCAGGGTAGAGTCCCCATCTTCTGCGGCTTTCCAAAAGCCAACTCATTAACGTAACTCAGGTGTGGCTGCAAGGAACTTGCTGTGAATAACAAAAGACACCTTTGTCACTCTGATCAGGAACTTCCAAGGGTTTCAGGAGCTCTGCCAGGGACTGGAACAAAGACAGAACACACACGTCTTCTTATAAATCACGACACCGCACGTGGTCGGTGTGAAAGCAGCAAGTGCCTGGACCTTACCCATCATCGGAATCAAGTTCCAAAATGCAACTTGTCAAGCACCGAGGCTACCGTCCGAACGGCAGATGCCGGGCGCAGCCGACATGAGCTAATACATGTCACTCGGGCCCTTTGTCCTCATTACTCTCTGCCCCCGATTCAAATGCTTGGAGACAAGACGAGCTTTTGAACCTGCTTGGGTGAGAGCAGTAGACAGGAAAAGGAGAATTTCAGGCCTTTCAAAGGAGGGCGTGGCTGTTAGGCTTGTAACATTCATCAAGCACCCCCCAGAAATTGTAGTGGAAAATACCTTTTCTCAGTCATTAATAGTCATCGGTAATACAAGCTGCAGATCCCTGAACCAACGCCCTTCCTGGCCAGCGAGGAAAGCGTGCCGTTTTTATGAGTGTTTCCTGGGCGCTTGGTAACTGCTCACCCCACGGCCCAGCCAGTCTGTGGCTGGGGCCCCCACACCCCGAGCTCCTTCACAACTAGGCGTGGTCAAAGAGGACAGAAGGCTATTGTTCCCGGCATCATGGCCCCAGCGACAGGGGACTGTGTTCGCAGACATCGCGCTGTCCTTTCTTGGGTGTGGAATTCTACCCACAGCCTCTGCGTCTTAGAACCGCGCCCTTTACACAGCCCCGTCCCCACTCCTGTCATGCGGCACACGGCC